TTTCTTTTAAACTCACATTTTATATTTTCCAGGGAAAAAAAACTAAAAAAAAAAAAAAAAAAAAAGGAAAGAGTATTATTACCTTTAAAAATAGTGAGCCTCCTGCAACAGAGCTCATTCCCTTTTGGGGAGTCTGGACCACTCCCCAGAATACTAAGGAAGGGCTACCAAGGGCAGAGTCCAAGTTCAATGGCGGGAAATGAAGGCAGTGGCAGGATACACACAACATCATTACAGTAAAAGGCACTGTCCACAAATATCTTACATTTTTCAATTTAAATATATGTCTTCTCCCTTTTCCTTTGGTGGAAACTTTCTTCTCAGCAGCCGGAGCAGATTTGTATTTAGTGTTTCTGAGCCGAGCAGACCTCCTGTGAATTTCCTGCTTACTCTGTTACACAAACAAATTAAAGGAGAGAGAAAGAAGTAAAAAGTGTGTAAAGGTTGCAATACAATCATCTTACAAGGATCCCAGAGTATGTACTTTATAGGAGTATTTAACAATTAAGAGTGCGCCTTTGCTTTTCAACAGAGGTAATTTCAGCAACTGGGCTAAGTAAAACCGGAAGTTCAGCACCCGAATCTCGGAGCTCGCTGGACACGCGTCTCCAGAGCCTCCAAAAGGTGTGAGCTGCTTGTAATAGGTCAGGAGGCGGAAGTACCAGTCAGTCTGGGCCAAGACAAACACTATTCATTTGTTGTGTCTACAATAGAGAAAAACACTTAACAACTTTACTCCCTAAGGCCAGATAACGTATTAGGTTATGGCGCCTCCTACAACTGAATACTTAAGCTGCCATTTACAATAATGACATAATAATCTTACTTCATAACCTGATATGACAAAACCTTTAACAAGCAATGAGGTCCAGCACCTGCACTTGTGGCATGACCCTGTTTACGACTGTGTAGACGTGTGCATATTGAGATTTTCTTAAGGGCTTTACATTTTGGTTCTTATTGCTTTGAATTTCTTATAACAGGTGCTTTGGAATGGGTCAAACCAAAGATCTCAGTAGGAGGTGGGGAGGGGCGTTCCAGCCGGCAGGACCACGGCGAGCCAGGAAGCCCGGGCCCGCCAGCTCCCAACCCG